AGGAATCATACAGTCCTGATGTCACAGTTGTTGTTTTAAGTGCCATCAAGTCAGTTCCAACTTGTAGCAACCTTGTATAGGGTTTCTAAATAGTGGCTGATGGGTTTGAACCACCAACCTGTGGTTAGTAGTTCAGTGCTTATCTTACAGTGCCACCTCAGGACTCCAATGCCACACACCTGTGTGAAAGCAAATCCTTCATACCAACAGCTCCATCAGCTAGTATGAAGGATTTGCTTTCACACAGACATGCTCTATGAGGGTGTTAGAAATATGTTGTCGTTAGATGCTGCTGAGTTGGTTTTAACTCAAAATGATCCAACACATAATAGAAGGAAACACTGGTAGGTCCTGTGCCCTCCTCACAGCCATTCTTACTTTTGAGCACATTGTTGTAGACACTGTGTCAATTCTAAGCTGTATTTCCTCCCAGAAAGATTTGTTCATTCTTCTGGCATCCCATGATAAATTTGATATTCTTTGCCAACATCGTGATTCAAAAGCATCAGTTCTTCAGTTTCTTTACTCATTGTCAGTAATTTGCATATATATGTGACATCTGAAAATACCATGGCTTGTGGAAGGCACACTCTCAAAGGTGTCCTCTAATGACATTTTTGCTTTTTAACACTAAAGAGATCTTTTGCAGTAGGTTTTCCCAAAGCAATACATTATTTGACTTTGTAATTGCTGCTTCCAGAAGCATTGATTATAAATCAATATAAAATAAAATCCTTGACAACTTCAATCCATTCTCCATTTATCATGATGTTGCTTATGGGTCGGTCTAGTTGTGAGGATTTTGTTTTATGTTGAAGTGTTTCTCTGCTATTCATAAGGTTTTCAGTGACTTAATATTCAGAAGTAGTTCGTCACTCCTTCTTCCTTTATTAACTATGCAAAGGCTTTTGAATGTGTGGATCATGACAAGCTATGGACAACATTGCAAAATATGAGTATTCCAGGACATTTAATTGTGCTTATGAAGAATCTGTACATGGACCAAGAGGCAGTTGATTGAACAGAACATGGTTTAAAATTAAGAAAACTGTGCGACAGGGTTGTATTCTTTCACCATACTTATTCAACCTGTATGCTGAGCAAATAATCTGAGAAGCTGGGTTATATGAATAAAAATGTGGTATCAGGATTGGAGGAAGACTCATTAACAGCCTGAGATATGTAGATGATATAACCTTTTTTGCTGAAAGTGAAGAGGACTTAAAACATTTACTGATGAAGATCATAGACCACAGCCTTCGGTATGGATTACATCTCAATGTAAAGAAAATAAAAATCCTTACCACTGGACCAATCAACAACACTCTTATCAATGGAGAAAAGATTGAAGTTGTCAAGGACTTCATTCTTCTTGGATCAACTATCAACACTCATGGAAGCAGCAGTCAAGAAATCAAACTACGTATTGCATTAGGCAGATCTTCTGCACAAGACCTTTTAATAGTGTTGAAGAGCAAAGATGTCAGCTTGAGCGCTAAAGTGTGCCTGACCCACGCCATGGTATTTTCAATAACCTCATATGCATGCAAAAGCTGGACAGTGAATAAGGAAGACCATAGAAGAATTGATGCATTTGAGTTACCGTGTTGGAGGAGAATATTGAAAGTGCCATGGGTTGCCAACAAGCAAACAGATCTGTGATGAAAGAAGTGCAGCCAGAATGCTCCTTGGAGGCCAGGATGGCCAAACTTCATCTCTCATACTTTAGACATAGTGTCAGGAGGGACCAGTCGCTGGAGAAGGGTATCACATTTGGTAGCATCAGAGAAAAAGAGGAAGACCCCCAATGAGATGGATTGGCCAGGTGGTAGCATCGACGGACTCAAGCATGGTAAATGGTAGTGAGGTTGGCCCAGGATCGGGCAGTGTTTCGTTCTGCTGTGCATAAGGTCGCTATGAGTCGGTACTGACTCAATGGCACCGAACAACAACAATGTTGAGGTGTAAACCATGCTGAAGGCTGTATGTGGTCTTTGATCTTCATCAGTAAGAGCTTCAAGTCCTCTTCACTTCTAAAAATGTCTCTGAGCTACTTCAAATAAAGCAAAAACCAGAATTCTGTGGATATTTACAATGTTGAAGCCCAGGCATTTGAGCCAAAAAAATGTTTGCCTACAGAATTTTATTTCCTTCATTGTTTGCCAGGAATGTTACATAAGCGTCTCTTCAGTACCACCCAAAAACTCTCAATAAAAGGAACACACACAAATAATAAAAAGGCTAAGGCTCCAAGTGGAAATTGAATTGTATTTATTTTTCTTATACAGAATCAGAGAAGTAAAAACCAGTACCAAACTCCTGGTAAAATGGTTTGATCTGATTGATTTGGCAGCATACTTTCTGTATGCATAGCATTCTAAATGAAAAAATAAACACACATATGTCATATTACAAAATGTAAAAGAGTAAATTTTTTAAAAAGTAAAAGTAATAGCACATAAATGATGTAGTGTGTTAGGGAAACGGTCTCTCTCAATCATCCATTTTCCCAATTAAATGAATCTACAGTTTTATTTAACTTTTTTTCATAGAAGTTGTACTTTCAGCAGTTACTTTCTAATTACATCATGAAAATACCAATGGTAATTAACAATACTTTTCTCACTCTTCCAGATCACCATCTTCTACCAAGGTGTGGTCAACAGCACCTCCCGCACACTCATTTTTTTTTTTTTTCCACTGTTTTACATGCTTCCCATATATGGTGTATTCAATGAAAGAAATGGTATTCACATACTAAACACTATGGTAAAACACCGTATAACAATTACTTAGATTTAATAGAGCTACAGATAGGTTTTAACAATGTATTTACTTCAAAACAATATATATATTTTTTTAATCAGAGGGGGAAAAAGTCTTCAAAGAAAGATTTCTGAAATTATTTTTCAGTTTTACTTCCTAACATTTGACTAAGTTATTGGGTGAAATGGTGAAGCTTATTGATTCATCTAGGACTCAAAAGACTAGATACCCTGGCAGTTGTTTTATAATAAGAAATGTAGTATAAATAGCACCTTATTATGAATTCTTCAGGGAATTTTACTTGAACTGATAGGAAACATCCATTAAAAAGCTGTCCTTACTTAAGAATTTCTAGCTTTAGTGTTCTTTGATAAAGGCCATTATCTTATGGCCTACACAAACAAAGCATTATATCCGTCTTTACCTATTAGTAAACATATAGACCGGGTCTATAGTTTATTTTTGGAAAAATACGTATGAAGTTCATTAATAAATGTTCTAATTAATTTCACTAAATATAAAAATCTAGTATTTTCTAATGCCACAAGCCTCCTAGAAAATTACTTTTAAAAATTGGTAATGCAAAAATCAACAATGTTTTAACTATTTCAAAAGAGAAAAAAAAAAAGAAAAGAAAGAAGAAGGGCATCTGCTTCTTACATTTAATAACCTGAAAATGAGTCTATAAAAATAGTTTTTAAAAAAATACAGTAACACTGCTCAGTTTTGTTCGGTCCCTTGTTTTTCTTTTTTTCTTAGAAAGAATATACAATTCTCTTTGCAATTATTGCTAACAAACATGAAAAAGAAGTAGTGCTCCCTTCAATTTAGTAGCAACATAGACATCTACCCATCTCTCTCAAAGTGCTTAGAGAGAGGGAAAGGAATTAGGAGAACATAAACCATGGGTCCTTTAGAAAAAAAAAAAAAAAAAAAAAAATCACTTCATTGCATTGGAAGCCACAGCAGGCTTACACTTGTGCCTGCTACATGCTCAGTAACATCAGCCCTGCCCTTCCTCCTCCCACATAAAGTGCACCAAAGCCTTCTTTTCCTTGACAAGAGAGTCGTCTGGTATAAAGGTTGCAATAGGAAATTGCTGCTTTGTTCTTTTGGGGCACCTCTCACACCTCCTGCTTGTCCTCTTGCTTTGGGGGGGAACAACTACTTATCTAATTCCATTTCACAACTAGTACCCTTTCCACTCTATTCCTTAACTTTACTACTTCATCTCTGACCTTTTCACTTGACTTCTTCCCAACAAGATAAGATGTGTTCTACATGTCTATATTCTGGTATATAAAAAAGGATCTTATTGAAGATCCCCAACACATAAGACCCCTTGAGAATTGAAAGCTTCCTCTCAGAGACCTGAATTATTAATGTCTTCCCAAAACAATACATTTTAAAGAGATTAAATTCATAGATTATAAATAATGGCCGTTGGAAATATTAAGCAGTTGAGGACTTCATTGGCATGGCAGGCTGACTGCAGGCTGGGGGAACCTGATGCTCTGTCTCAGTCCTTAAAAGCTAATAAAACAACGTTCCTGGTTACATAAGAGGTATTGAGTACACATTTCATGCCTTTTTATACCAACTGTAGCAAACAAGGTTAGGATCATATACTAAGGGATCCATTTTTACTGAATTCAGAAGCGTATGTCTCCACCTTATGCCCTCAACGGGGCATTTTTTTTATACGTCAGTCAGAGAGCTGCTTCATCCTTCAAACTGTTTCATAGATAAGATTATTACAAACATTTGAAGTCTCAAAAAACAAAACTGACAAGGCTTCAGAATTTATAAAGCAACTGCTTACTGCATGGACCATAAGGCCGAAAACTATGCCATCCCAATGTTTTCAGAAAAGTTTTCAATAGGCAAAAATGCACTTGCCACTGATTTATCAAAAACATTTAGCTGTCCTGTCATCAGCTACAAAATTCTAGTGCTTTATATAACATCCATATCACATTCCTAGCTGCAATTTAAAAAAAATGAAACTCGAAGTTGGCATTGTAAAAAGTTTTGTTTAGTAAATGTTCCTCGTTAGTACTAAGCTGGTCTTTCCCAATATGCGCAGTGTGAAAATGGTAACTAGAGCTGCTGCTGCTCTCCCATTGGGGGACTAGTTGTCTACAGGCTCTGCAGTAAAAGGATGCTGGCTAGACTCCCATGGGACTGGGTGTGCCTTTGTAAATAAAGATTAATATGAGCTGTCGGAGCCAGCATGGATCCAAAACTACATTGTACGCCATACAGCAGAATTTTACTATCCATACAATGATTTTTTTAAAGCTCAAGTTAAATATATTTTAAAGCATTTGATACTACTGCCACCAGTTTTTGAAATTGCAAATGGGGTCTCCTTTTGTGCACATTTCCTGGACCAAGCCACCCATCAGAAGTTACTGCCTGTGGTGAGCTTTTTATGGTTTATAGTCAATTGATCTATAAATTTAAACTACCACTCATACAGCTTAGTCATGGAGCAGCAGAGAGAATAGAGAAAACATAATTCTGCATAATCAATTTTGCATAACCCATCACAGGAATGCAGGCTTGCAGAAAATGAAAATAGACTATTTATTTATGAGTGTAACTTAAGTTACTTTCAATCAAATCCAGGCAATGATTAAACTGGCCACATGGAAAGGAGAGAGCAAAAGTCATGGAGGCAGAAAGTGGTGCACCTGCAGACTTGCTCTGTCCCATTGTTTTTTCCAAGAGGCCCAGGAAATGTCAGGTTATGGCTGCATCCAAGCTACAACAGTACTGACTACAGCCAGGTTAGAAAGGGCTCGCTTTTGTTCAGTGCAGACTCTACATCATTGAAGAGGGGGATCAGATCTTCAGATTCCAATGTTCCTAGGTCAACATTTGTTCCCGGAAGACAGTCAAGAAAATCAGGGAAGCGGGTCTGCTGAGTATTGATGTTCATAGGTGTCTGTCCTGCATTTTCTCCTACAAGAGAAAGAAAGGAAGCAATTTTAATTCTTTTCCTTTTCTTTTAGCCATTGTTGCAAGTCAAAAAAAAAAAATTATCTTTGTGGGAAATCTCAGCTACCACATCACTGAAACTGAGTTGGTGACCTGTACTAATAAGAAATACAGAGGTGGCGGGTGAATGCTTCCTCAGTGTTTTTCCCCAGACATAGCCCTGAATGGAAAAGTCCAGGAAGATAAGAAAGAAGCATGCAAAGGCACTGTGGATCTGACCTGTGATGTGAGCCTTTCCCAGCAGAGACATGAATAGATGGTTTATGAGTGAGTAGTGAGTTCTTCCTATAATAAAGACCTTAGCTATAATCTAAGGATTTAACTATAAGCTTGTATTTACCCCTATCATCCTTCTAATGCTTAAAGACAATAGGACAGGAGTTTCTTTTAATCATGTTATTAAAAACTTTCTTCATTGATAGCTCTAGGCATCATTTGCAAAGTATTTTATAAAGTGGGTTCTTCAGATCTTCTCCCTGCTTTCCACACACTACATCCCCAAACTAGCTATCCTCCTCAGCGTCACAATGCACGCAAACATATGCAGGTTCTGAAATGTCTTACAGAAATCTGTTTTATTTTAAGCCAGTATTTCCTAAATCCATTTAACCACCCAATTCTATTTTTGGTGGTGGTTGTGTGCTGTTCAGTCAGTTCTGGCTCACAGGGACCTTATGTAGGGTTTCCAAGGCTGTAAATCTTTACGGGAACAGAAAGCCTCATTTTTCTCCCACAGAGCAGCTAGGGGATTAGAAATGTTGACCCTGTGTTTAGCAGGCCAACATGTAATCCACTATGCCATCAAGGCACCTAATTCTATTTTAGATAAATCTACTAACATCCCAATGATAATATCTACTGAACATAGTGTAGAAAATGCTGAAATAGAGGAAGGCTAAGTATATGAAAGATGACATGAATAATATTTGTTCTTTATGTATACTTGTATAAGAGAAAATGGAGTCCTGGGGTGGCACTGTGGTTTAATGCACCAGACTGCAAAGTCATTTGAACTACAAGCTCACCAGCTGCTCCTTGGAAACCTTACACAGGGTCGCAATGGGTCGGGATTGACTCGATGGCACTTAACAAAAACAACATAAGAGAAAATAAACTAACTTTGGTGTCAGTAGACTGAGCTTTTTATCTGTTGATCTTAAACACACTTGTCCAACTGGACCTCAGTGTCCTCATCTATAAAATGGGATACTGGTACATTCTTCATGAGACTGAGTCTGTGTGACCGTAGACACACCTGCCTGACGCTCAGTTTCCTCCTATGTAAAATGGGATACTGCCATCTTCCTCACATATTTGAGTATAGTGCCAAATAGTGTCTGACACATAGCCATAGCTTTAGGCATCATTCATGAATATAAACATATACACATGAAAATACAACAAATTTATTGATTGAACTTTCTCAAAGGAAGAAAACGACTGGGAACTCAATCACTGTTAACACAATATAAGAGCTACAGGTTATCTCAAACAGACACAAAAATTTTCTTTCTTAAAGGGATAAAATCTATCTCAAAGTTTGAAGCGCACTGATGACTAAGGCCAGCTTCCACCATACTGTAGTTTTTAAGAAACTTATTAAACTAGCCTTTGCATTTTACAAGTGTAGTAGACTTCTTGAAAAGGATGCACAGAAATTTCAATATTCAGAGAAAAACTTCCAAGAATTCGTTTAAATTATATATAATTTCCAAAAAGAAAAAAAACAAAAACACACAAAAAACCTTTTCAAGTCATGGGGGAAACAATCAAACTTGCATATTGTTGATAACAAAGCTTAATGACTTTTCTAGAACTCAGAAATTATGAATGATTCTGGGAAAATATATTATAGGGTCTGTAATCTGTAATAACAACGGTATAATGCTGACAACTTGGCTGGAATATAGTGTTATAGATATTGAAAAGTCAAAACAGAAAAGAAAAGTCAAAATGATTTTTTTTTTCACTCATTGGTGGTGGTGGTGTACCATGGAGTCAGTTCCGACTCAAAGCAACTCTGTACAGGGTTTCCGAGGCTGTAAATCTTTACAGGAGCAGAAAGCCTCATCTTTTTCCCGCGGAACAGCTGGTAGTTTCGAACTGCTGACCTTGAGATTAGCAGCCTGATTCATAACCACTACACTACCAGAGCTCCTTTTTCACTCACTAGAGTATGACAATTTAACAGATAAGTGTGGTTACTCTGTCACTATGTACTCTGTAGGATAAACACACACACACAACACAAACCACAAGGTTGCTGGTTCGGTTCAAGCCCACCAGCCAATATGAGGGACAAAGATGATGCTTTCTGCTCCTGCAAAAAGCCTCAGAAAACCTAACCAGAATAGCTGTGAGTTGAAACCAACAGCATAACAAGTGGAAATGAAGTTTTAGATTTGTCCTAAAAATTATCTGATCTAAAAGTGCTGAGAATCTTTTTTAATCTCCACCTCTATTAATTTTCTAATTTTTAAATAACTCAATACTGTATTTTCTTATCCAAACAAAACCTCTGTGCTTTAACAGCATTCCTCTTATCCTGTCTCCTCATATGTGGAACGCATTAGGAGATTACTTCTTCGTTACGGTCAACAACCTTAACATCTTTCTTGGGAATAATTTTGTAATCTCATAAAATCTTTTTGCATTTTGAAGGTTTATCCACATTCCTTAAAAATCAGAAGAGAACAAAACAGGCAATTCTGAAAAGGGTGTGATTGGGACAGAATATTCTGTAAGGATGGATGATGCGTCCCAGCCTTTGTTCATGCTATTTCTTTACTCTAACCTCACACCACATCCAGCTGTTGTTTCCATGTGTGCTTTTCAAAAGAAGTGCTCAGCTGACTCCTTCCCATTCATCATGTGGTCAGTCAAACAGTTCTTTCCTGACCACATTGTGTCCTGCCTACCACCAGCTTTTTCTCATTTTGTCCCTGTACAATTACATTCCTCCTCTTGAACAGGTTAATGTCCATTTCCTATAGTGACTTCACACAGGTGACCCCTAATCTCTATGAGCTGACACTCACCTAACCAGGTGAACTTGGAAGCTTAGTTTATCCAGATCATTTTGTGCATTACTTTATTTTATTAGAAAGACGGGAAGAAAGCTCTGTAATTCTCATGCTTTTTACTATTCTATGAAGCAGTGTATTTCTCGTACTTTATAGGTGATAAATCCAAAGTCAAGGGAGTTACATACCCAAAGTCACCGCAAGGAAGTGGATGGTGGATGAGCAAGGATAGAAACTCAATTCTGTCTACAAATACCATTTTCTTTTCAGACCATCACTTAATTTCCCAGTACAACTTCAAAACACTTCCTATGTACCCACTTGAGATCATTTGCAATAGATGAAGAATAGAACATCTATTTTTTTCTTAAAGTTTAGATTTCAATAACCTGAACTTTTTCTTTCTTAATTTCTGCTTTCATATAAACTAGCTTCCTAGTATCTAAAAAATTAACAAACAATTATTAAACTTAAGGAGCCACTTCATAACCCTGTTCTCAAGAGGCTAAAATAAATCTCACACCAAAATGTTCAGAGAGAGAAGAACAGAGCTGGGGAAGAGGGAGGGTGAAACCTGAAGTAATAAATTGAAAATCAGCAGAACAAACAATTCAAATCATTCCTGTGTGACTCCTCACAGTACGGCCGTGCACTCTTCTAAACCCAGAGATGACCGCCAACAATCAGTCCTCAGAGCAGCTGTTCCCCATGCCCTTACATTAATTTGACACCTGGCTAATCATTCGACTTTGGATCTCACCAACCATTTGGATGCAGAGCAAGAAGAGGAGTCTTTCTTCTAGAAGCAGAGGATAACAAACAGACAGTATGCAAAAGTGTAACAGCTTCTTTTAGTCTCAGTATTAGTGATGGTGGAGGAGGAACTTGCATGAGTAACTTCAAATAATGGACACATTGGCTGCCATTTTTGTTGGTTCTAGACTACCTTCTGAAGGTTATGACTTTCACAAGTAAGTCTGTGATTGTTGCTGTTGGCCAATGTCAAGTTGGCCCCAGATTCATGGTGACCCCATGCACAGCAAAACAAAATACTCCTTGTCCTGTGCCATCTCCATGATAGGATGTGGATCAGACTATTGTGATCTATACAGTCTTCACGGGCTGATTTTCTGGAGTGGATTGCCAAGTTTTTCTTCCCAGTCCATCTAGTCTGGAAGCTCTGCTGAAATATGTTTAGCATATGGAGCAACAAAGTTTCCATTCACAAATAGGTGGTGGCTGCTCATGACTTGAATTGGCCAAGGTTTGGATCCAGGTCTCTTACATGGAAGGCAAGAATTCTACTACTGAACCATCTCTGTCCCCAATTAATTCTAGATTTGGCTAAGACTAATTCAGTGTTTTCAATGGAAGGAGGCCCCACTTATCAGACTAGGTAACCAGAAAAACTTTTGGTGGTGGTACATTTTGAAGGATGTGGAGTCGGTAAAAGCCACCCTTCCCTCATTTCTGATTGGTGAGAGGACACTAGTGCTGTGATTGGAACTTGGAGATCACAATTCAGAATCCTCTGAGTTGTTAACTTTCCAGTATTGGTTGCTTCCTGAAAGCTGTGAATGTCATGGAAAATTTGCATGCTAATTCAACTATAAGATCAGTACAGTTTTCTTAGAGGAAAAGGGTCTTATATAAGTTAAAACTACAACACAAATATCCCGTGTGGAAAGAGGAAAACAGCAGACTGTGGTGTCTAATTGCAACTTTGAGGAAAGAGCTATAGGAAGAGTAAGGAGGAGCAAGAAAAAAAAAAAAATTCAAAGTCTGCATCCATATATGAAATTATATTTGCATAGAATATGGGAAGTGACTTGGAGTCCTGGTATAGTGCTGTAGAATAAACAGTGCACTGCTAACCACAAAGTCAGCGGTTCAAACTCACCAGCCACTGCTCAGAAACCCTCTACAAGGATGTTATGAGTTGTAATTAACTTGATGGCACTTAACAACAACAATGGGGAAGTGATTAGAGTTTATTAACCATACCTGGAATCAGGTGGCTTTTTAATTTAATGGTTGGATTTAAAAATTGAGATGAAATAAGAGACCATTTAAAATCACAGTCTGCCAGCACTCACAGTCTCTGCTCCTACCTGTGTCCATCTCATCCACATTGCTGAGGAAATCTTCTGGAGTTGTTGGGACACTGTAGCATCCCAGCCCCAGGCCACTGTCAGTGCTCTGCTCCCTTGAATGATAAGGCCCTCTGAGGAGCAAAAGACAGAGCAATTATAATGTCAGCACAATAGATTAACGTCAAAGTTAAAATACAAGCATGTATTTGGACGCAGATCGAGCAGAATCATCTGGAAGCAGAGGGCAACAAATAGCAAAACTACTGTGGTCCTTTCAGCCCAACTTTCCAGATAATGAAGGGGAAGTGGACTCATGTTTCTTTTCTACTTTGAAACATAGATCCAAACATCAATGAAAGTAATAAGTTATAAGCAAATAAAAACTAAGCACTCGCAGTAAATTAACAGTAGTTTCCTTTTCATCTTAAAATAGTAATTTGAATGCTGTTCTACATATACGTTTACAAAACATACAATATTTATAAGGATACACATATAAACAAGCAGCAAAATGTATAAAATATTTGTGTTGAACACAGACCATTTCAGGATAGTGGTGGTTATTACCGAGGAAAGACAAAGGGTAAAAGGAATTCAGAGATGGTGGAGATGGGGTCAAAATATTATTTGTAACATTGTTGTTTTTTAAAAAATTGGATGGAAATATGACAATTCTGGTTGGCAGGTATATGGGTAACTCTTACATTATTGTTTATATTTTTCAGGCATTCTAAATATTGTAAAATCAACAATTTAAGAGTAATTTTTTTTTTTTTTTTTTTTTGTAGGGAGGTTACTAACAGTTTTCATCTCTCTCTGTTTCACTCAATCTCTCTCTCTTTTTCTCTTTAACAGTGCTTATAATTGCATGGATGTGCTTGTCATAAGATTCTCCAGAAGAAGAAAAGGCACAGGGAATAGGGCTTAAACAGCTACAATTAAGGTTGACAAAATTCTATTCATGAATACACCTCCTGGCTAGCTTTACCTTTCCTTCTACTTTTACATTTCATTTAAAAACAACAGCAACAAAATAACATTGTCTCTTTTTTAGATTATTTTGTAAATTTTGAAGTAATTTTAGGTTCACATTGAAGCTGCAAAAAGAATAGAGAGTCCGCATGTATTGTTCACGCAGCTTCACCCAATAACATCTTACATAAACAGAGTATAATGATCAAACCCAGGAAGTTGACATTGTATAGTGCTATTAATTAAACTGTAGACCTTATTCAGATTTAACCATAAACATTAGCTCTTAAATGTTTTGTTCTCTAAGTTACCATATAACATGATTTTGTCCTGTTGGCTACATAAAACTTCAAGTCTTCCCAATAATTACTATAAAACACCATTCTGCATAAATTGTAAGTTCATCTCCATATATAAGCTCCTGACTAGGGGTTTATTCATCTCATATAACTAGGTTGTGAACTTAAGACTTTAAGAAATGTAAACGTCTTCCTCTGCTTTTTTTTTTCCCTGCCACCTCTCCCTGACTTCTTCCCTCTATTTTCACCCCAAGCTCCTTACAATTTCCCAACATACACAAAGACTCATGACACTCTAGACCATTTAATAAAGAAAGCAAAAATAAATGGCCCCCAAATGTTAACTTACCCATTGAGGAAAGGATCTGAGCCATTATTAGTGATGGATCTCATGTCTGGGGTCATGGTGGGGGGGTTGACAGCAGCCTGAATTGTGGCCAGAGTCTCAGCTTCCATGGGGAGCTGTCTACAGAGTGCAGCTTCCTGCAGAAACACAGAGAGAGAGAAGAGTTACTTATTGTCACAAGAATCAGAGCAAAGTATAGTTCATAGGACAACTTTCCACCATGCAATTATGAAACACTTTATTTCTATTCCCAATATTCAGTCAAGTTCACCAGGAATTTACTAGTACTCTTACAGATGAAAACCACTTTCTCACTTTCATAAAGTTAATGAGAAGCTCAGCTAATATTTGACCTTTGGTACTCAGAGACCAATCATCACCCACCTCCAATTGTTTCAACACCCAATCACATAAAGGTTTCTCAAGACACTTCTCTGAACTAGGCTATTTTTACCAACGAGTTCTCAGACTAAAATCAAAATCAATTCATTCAAAGCAGCTGGACTCCTCTGGGCTACCAGGTACATGCAAGCTGGTCTTTGCCGTTCTCAGGTTAGTAAACTGTGGGTTTGCAGAGTTCAGGCTCTCCATTCAATCATATCTGGTAGCCTTATGTCAATAGCCCAGAGAACAAAACTACCAGCTAAAAGAGTTGCAGTCAATTAGGTTTTTTACTTGACTTTTTATTATTATTATTATTGGTCTAAAATGACTGCAGGTTTGAAAACCATGCAGACACAATCCAAATACCACTGATGATTAACTGATAGTATATGAAGTTAATTTGCAATATATATATATATATATATGCAGCATTTTGTTTTAAGTCAGCATTACTTGAGAAGAGTCAGACTAAAAAGTTCTAATTCTGACTACAACTCCTTTCTCTAGGCATGGTGGTGATGGTTATGTGCCATGGAGTCGGTTCTGACTTATAGCAACCCTGTATAGGGTTTCCGAGTCTGTATATCTTTACCAGAGCAGAAAGCCTCATCTTTCTCCTGCAGACCTGCTGGTAGTTTTGAACTGCTGACCGTGAGATTAGCAGCCTGACTCATAACCACTATGCTACCAGAGCTCCTTTTTTCTAGGTAGAGCCTCTCCCATTTTGGCAAACAAGTTCATAAACATAAATTTGCTGTTGTTACCAAAGAAGAACACTTTGTACGTATATTTGCATCCAAAACCAATGCTAGGTCCTTCCCCATATTTATGCCTCTCAGTTTTCTGCTTTCCATGCTGAAGTCATTGGTCTCACCATCCCTCAAACCCCAAAACCATGGATACAATGTCAAACAGAACATTTAGACCATCTAAGTAACAGTATCTTTGTTAAATCTATCCCAGCCCAGCCCTAACATGCTATGACTTTAGAGAGGAGCTGCTGTCTAGACAAGTCCTAGTGAAGTCATCGGCTATAAAAACTTTAGGTTACTAAAGTTCACTATAGTGTTACTAGGAGTTATGATAGCATGACGCTTACAACGGGGAGAGACCTAACTGATGTGAAACCTACACTGAAATAAGTACCCTGGCTCATTTCTTGTCATTCATATTGTAAATAATCAGAATAGTTAGCCAATGTCAATTTTATTAATTAACTCATTAAAGGCACAAGAACAAATAATGGAGTTCTGTTCTTTTTTTTTTAGTTTAAGAAAAAAACAAAAACAGTTTTTTGTATATAATCGAAATCTTGGAAGTACCTTCTGAATAAATTTAGAAAACCTAATTATTTTATAAGAATTGTCTTTACATGGTGGGAGAAGCCTTATTTTCAAACAAAAGCTTTCTTGGAAGCCTTCTATGGAAAAACAATGGAAAGTGTCTGATTGAAGCTGGCGTGAGGAGACTGGGCCTGCTAGTGCCAATCCCTCGGGCACATGCATACACCCCAAACCACGGCCTGAAAACATTGCATCTATGATTTTATTCCCAGTTCTTTGTAAACTGTAAATGCAAGGAATATTTGAGTGCTAACTTTGAACAAACTTATGAAGTTGTACATATTGTGGTTGTTGCTGTTAAGGGCCATTGAGTCAGTTCTGACCCATAGCGACCCTGTAGAGGGTTTCCGGAGAGCAGCTGGTGAGCTTGAATCACTGACCTTGTGGTTCAAAACAACTTTGCAGTTCGGTGCATCAACACACAGTGCCACACCAGGACTAGGGTAGAGCTCTAAGTCGGTTCCGGTTGAGGAACCTTTATTATATATATTAAAAAATCAGTCTAACCATCTGGAATAAATGTTGGGATTTATCTTTTAAAACATATATACTGATTATGTGATACAAAAAGTATAACAAAAAATCCATGACATTTCTTTATACGTGATAAAATTATATGACTACTGGGTAAATTTGCCAACTCCAGGTGCTCAGAGTTTAAATATATTAATAATCATTTCCGTAACTTTGTGGGATTAAAAAACATATATGATAATCTAAAAGAATAAATTATCATCTGGTATGATAGATAAATAATATGAAAATTAAAATTTCAAACATAAGAACAAATGTCAGGAACTAGATATGAAATATATAGTTCTAAACTTTCCTGTTCATTTAACTTATTCTGAGTATTTACCAAATAATATTTGTTGTTGTTGCTGTTAAGTGCTATCTAGTCAGTTCCAACCCATAGCAACCCTAGGGTTTTCGAGCAGAAGTTGGTGAGCCTGAACCACCGACCCTGAGGTTCAAACTGACTTTAAAGTCCAGTGCACTAACTCACAGTGCCACACCAGGTCTCCAGACATAATATAGACTTTTGAAATAACACTTGCGGTTGGCTAAAAAAAGAAATAAAATTGGGTATAGTGCAATAGGATAAACAATGTGACTGAAAACAGCAAGACTGGTGGTTCAAACCCACCAGCTGGTCCTCGGAAACCCTATTCAGGGTTGCTATTATCAGAACTGACTCAACGGCACTTAACAACAACAATAATTTACAATGACCAAATCTGGAAGAACTTACATTGGAGAAAACTTCCTGTATTTTAAATTGAAGATCAGCTGAGGTGCCATTCTTTAGTCTCCGTGTACCCAGATTGCTTCCCTATCTCCTGTGAAGACTTGGACACCACAGTCTTCTGTGTAACTGACAGTATCATTTTCTACTTTCAAATGACTAAAGGTTGCTAATGTACCAAGGGTGAAGAAACACCTAAATAAGAGGCTGTCTGCCCCTGTAAAGATTGATAACCTCAGCATCACTATGAGTCGGAATCGACTTGATGGCAGTAGTTTTTGTTTGTTGGATTTTTACAGTCTGAGAGGTGTCCAGGTGGCATAGGACAAGACAGGTAAGACACATAAGGGTACTTACAACAGTGCCTGGGCACAAGAGATCACTTAATAAATGTTAACTAATTATTATCATGGAGTCCTGGAGTGGTGCTGTAGGATTAGCAATGGACTGCAAACCACAAGGTCAGCAGTTCAATCCTACCAGCTGCTCCTCAGAAACCCTATACAGAGTCACTATGAGTCAGAATTGACTCGACGGCACATAACAACAATTATTATCATACCAAGTTTTGCATTCCATATTCACAAACCAAAAGTCAAAACCAAAACCAAACAATTTTAAAAGTCCCATTCAATTTCATCAAGTGAAATTGATCTATGTTTAGAGGTGAGACACTTCTTCCTGGCAAACTTTCACCTGTGAAGGATTAAACCAAAGTGTGAAATTCATGATGAGTTGGCAAGGCTAAAAAAAAATGTGGTTTTGTTTTTAAAAACGTAGAGACTTGTAAGTTTCTTTTCACTTAATTATGTTGTTGTTGTTAAGTGCTGTCAAGTTGATTTCAATTCATAGTGATCCTGTATGGGGTTTCCAAGGAATGGGTGATGGGTTTGAACCACCAACCTTGTGGTTAGCAGTCCAGTGCTTATCCTTCAGCATTTAATTATATCACTTTGATGTTTCAAAGTGCTGGGTTGGTTTTGATAGAATCTCTCAGATTCTGTTTATCGTGGAATGTCTTGATCACACCATCATGTTTGATTGATAGTTTTGCAGGATAGACGATTCCTGGTTGACAGTTTTTTTTTCTTGTGTAGGGCTTTGTATATGTCCCCCCATTGCCTTTTTGCCTGCATGGTTTGTTCTGAATAGTCAGAGCTTAATCTGATTTGCTTGCCTTTATAAGTGACATTTCTCTTCTCCCTGGCTGTTTTTAGTATTCTCTCCTTGTCTTTGATTTTGGAGAGCTTGATTATTATATGTGTTCGTGACTTTCTTTTGAGGTCTGTCCTTCCTAGGGTATGTTAGGCTTCTTGAATGTTGATCTTCTCATCTTTCAAGATGTCAGAGAAATTTTCTTCCAGAAGTTCTTCAACTATTTCCTCTGTGAACGTCTCTGATTCTTCCTGTTTCAGAATGCCATTTCTTAAGTTGTTCCTCTTCATGTTATCCAGCATGAATCTTAGACTCTCTTCAGATTTTTTTATCCTTTTTTTTTGCTTGTTCTTCTATCTTAGCAGTGTTGAGAGATTTGTCTTGCACTTCGCTAGTTCTGGCTTCCATCTCTTCTATTCTGCTCCTTCCCATTTTCAGTGTATTATCCATTTCTGATACCTTACTAATAATCTGGACCTCTTCTTGAAGGTTTTGAATTGTGTCCAATGTCGTATCATTCTTATTTGATTGCTCCTGTAGTACTTTCCTGACTTCTTCCTTGTTTTCCTCCACTCCTTTTCGGAGCATTTGAATTTGTTTTCATATCATTCTGAATTCTTTCTCAGATATATCCAAAACCTGCTCTTCCTCCTCTTCTAGAAAGCCCTTGTCTGTCTCCAGCTCATTTGTCTCAGCTATTCTCTTCTGTTTTTGGACAGTTTTCAATATCATTTGATGTTTTTTGTTCGTCGTTTCTGACAATTATGTGGTTTTTTTTTTTTAAAGCTTGAGTGGATGTTTGCTGTTTGTTGTTAAGCTTGCTGGGTGTTTCCTGGTGAATATGATCAGGAGATAGGCTCCCCTGTTCACATGTAATGTTTATCAGGTGTTGTTGGCTCTTGTCTCAGTGGTGGAATATTATGGGGTATGCTTATAGCTTGGCTATATGGCCATGATTGCTCTCTCTTCTTGGGTAATGTAGGGAGAAAATCCTGTGTGAAAGATGTGA